CTCCTCCTCCCAATTTATGAGCTCAGTTAGCTTATAACTTTCCACGCAGGAGGAACCAAGCTTAAATAATCTAAAAGTGATCATGGCCTGAATTCTACTTCATTAAACAGAAAACATGGCATAATGGAGGCCAAGCACACTGTGTGGGGAAAGGGGCACTAAACTACTTGGGTGACATATTTGGTCAACAGTTAAAGATTTTCACTTCATAATATTAAAGTTACAAAAAGATAACTTAAAAAAAAAGAAAAAAAAAAAAAAAGCATTTATTGGGTAATTTCCCATCCAACTGAAATATATGATGGCAATTACAGCAGTTTCAAAGCAACTAAATTATGGCACTGTGCAAATATGAAGTAAACATGCCATGTGGTCAAAATACAATTATGCCAAGTCACACAAGTTTAAAAATAAGTGTAGATTTCATAAAATGATGAAGCCAGTCCCTCTACGCAAATTCATTTCTCCAATTAAACTTATGGCACTACTATAAGACACACTATCTTGCCAAAAGTATTGGGCCAGCCCTCCAAATCATTGGATTCAGGTGTTCCAATCACCTCCATGGCTACAGGTGTATAAAATCAAGCACCTAGGCATGCAGACTGCTTCAACAAACATTTGTAAAAGAATGGGTCACTCTCAGGAGCTCAGTGAATTCAAGCATGGTACCGTGATAGGTTGCCACCTGTGCAATAACTCCATCCGTGAAATTTCCTAAATATTCCACAGTCAACTGTTAGTTGTATTTTAACAAAGTGGAAGCAACTGGGAACAACAGCAACTCAGCCACAAAGTGGTAGGCCATGTAAAAAAAATGACTGAGCGGGGTCAGTGCATGCTGAAGCACACAGTGCACAGAAGTAGCCAACTGTCTGCAGAGTCAATAGCTAAAGACCTCCAAACTTTGTGTGGCCTTCAGATTAGCACAACAGTGCGTAGAAAGCTTCATGGAATGGGTTTTCTTGGCAGAGCAGCTGCATCCAAGCCTTACATCACCAAGTGTTATGCAAACCTTCGGATGCAGTGGTGTAAAGCACGCCGCCACTAGACTCTAGAGCAGTGGAGACGTGTTCTCTGGAGTGACAAATCACACTTCACTGGCTGGCAATCTGACGGACATTATTGGGTTTGGCAGTTACCAGAACTTGCCTGGCTACATTGTGCAAAGAATAAAGTTGTGGGGGGGGGGGGGATAAGGTGTGGGGTTGTTTTTCAGGGGTTGAGTTTGGCCCCTTAGTTCCAGTGAAGGGAACTCTTAAGGAGTCAGGATACCAAGCATTTTGGACAATTTCATGCTCCCAACTTTGCGGGAACAGTTTTAGAAAAGCTCCTTACCATTCCAACATGACTGTGCACCAATGTACAAAGCAAGGTCCTTAAAGACATGGATGAGAAAGTTTGGGGCGGAGGAAATTGAGTGGCCTGCACAGAGTCCTGACCTCAACCCAATAGAACACCCTTGGGATGAATTAGAGCGGAGCCTGCGAGCCAGGTCTTCTCATCCGACATCAGTGCCTGACCTCACAAATGTGCTTCTGGAAGAATGGTCAAACTTTCCCATAGACACTCCTAAACCTTGTGGACAGCCTTCCCAGAAGAGTTGAAGCTGTTATAGCAGCAAAGGGTGGGCCAACTCAATATCGAGTCCTACGAACCAAGACTGGGATGCCATTAACGTGCATGTGCGTGTAAAAGGCAGGCGTCCCAATACTTTTGACAATATAGTGTATCTTACTTGGCTGTAGATAACGTTAGACATTACATTAACTCAATTTCATGTTGGATATTAAATATAAAAGTAATTATATAAGACCAGCTACAAAATCAGGAAAAGATGTCAATTTTAAGTGCTAGGTTATAAAATATTTCCCACTGCTTAATGTACTTTTCAGGCAAAATTGTTAACTTGAATTACCATAGGTATGTTCAATATACCTTTCTATGACTTAACTGAAGGCATGCATAAGAGTCCACACATAGAAAGGAAAAAAAAAAAAAAAAAAAAAAAACAGATTAATGGCATTTAAACCAGATCTCCCTCTATACATTTAAAAAAAATATCACATTCTAAATTGCAAGCAACGTCAGTTAATTCCGGTTGTCTTGTTATCAGTCTTCTGTAGTACACTGCTACCTATCATTGTCCAAGGCCAGAGGGGTATTATCACTATGTTCTAGACCAGACTGTGCTCTACTACTGCAATGAACATCAACTATCTGCTTGTATCTTCTGGCAGAGTTGTCTAGATAACAGCACCTGAACTACTACAAATGTTTAGTAGGTGAAATAATTTGAATGTTTTAATGTCTGTATTTTAGTGGTTCCATGGAGTTCAGCGTTGGCTAGGAAAAAACAATTTCGCCATTTGATTTACCTTACAAAATTGTAAAATGCATATACTTGTGCTACACAAAATATTAAGCACTTCGCAGAAAAATGCCAAACCCGCAATCTGTGGGCCCCTCAGCTGACATGATTGCCCTTATTTCAGGAACTGTTTACAGTCCTGTGTTGGTAAATACTGCAATTTCTCCAATGTAACTAATCATCATCAGGATCACATTTTAGAAACCTAGCCAAAATACACTGCAGCATTGTAAGACAGCAAGCAAACATTTGCCTGGAGCCTACATTTATGTATATTTGCCACTTCAAATTTCACCTTATTTTTTATGACTTTTTCTAAGTGAAAAAAAAAAAAAAAAAAAAAAAAATACATGTACAAGTCTACTCTTAAAATGACTGGGTTAAAATTCAGAAAGAAAAAAAAAAATATTTAACCAGCTCACCATTTTCCCCACTAGTCTATTATTCTCTGGTGTATTACCCTATGGAATCATCCTGGTCATATGGAAGGGGTGACGTGTTTAAATGTAAAAGGAGAGTGTCAGGCATTTTTTTTCTAGCTGTGCCCTCACTGCATGGGTTTACTTCTTGTTTTGCTCTAGGGGAGAGGACAGCGGAGATATTCTTACCTGAACTGGCGATACTTCCCCCCCACAAAACCGGTTTCTTCGGCTTCTGCCCCCCCCCCAGGTCCAGCTGTCTATTAAATGGACTGTTCCTGATGTCAGCATGCTCAATGCATGTTCTATAGGCAGGAACAGTCCACTGCTGGACCATGGGGGAGAGTTGTCCTCATCCCTACAGAAAATGAGCAGCTGATCCATGCACAGCCCCACTGCATGGTATAAAAAAAACAAACAAACAAAAAAAAAACGAAGTCCTGCTTTAAAAATACAAACACCCTGAGGCAGCATGCTTGTGCACATTATGTGGCTACATCTACTACATGTATATGTCATTAGTGCATCATGGCACTGCTCCATATGGTGATGGGGAAAGACAATATACATTAATTTCAAAGTTGAAATCCATTCAAGAGATAAAAAGTTTCCAAGTAGAATGTCAATCTAGTGGGAAGCTTTAGAGCATCTGCCATGTTTTTACTGCTGCATAGGTTTGTGTTGGGGAGATTTCACTTCTGGTCCCAGATGCAAAATAGTGAGAGGAAACCTCCCTAAAGTGGGGAAGATTTATTAAAGGTGTTTCTATTGGGAGATTTGCTGTCGCCTGCCCATGCATTTATAGATTTCATTTGCTGGATTTGGCCTCGCTTTTTGTCCCAGTGACAACAGTCACTGGGTGCGATTCCTCCCATGTGCACGCAGAGCGGCTATCAGATTTTTTTAATCTGCCTCAATTGAGTTGTGGGGTGTTTACATTCACTTCCTGAGTTACTGACAAGTTCTAGCCTGTCTTCCTTCAATCGCACCAAAAGCTGGAATTGCATATTAAGGGGAATTTATCTGTGGTGATCAGTACACTGCATTCTTGGAGCCAATGACTGTAACTGGACTTGTAAAGCCTAAAATCCCTTATACTGAGGCTACACCACATTAACTTTGTAGTACATCATTAATTGATACAATACTAGGGTTCTCAATGTGGGTTTTTAAACACTTGCACAGCGAAAAGATGGCCTGCTCCTAACACAAAAACACATACTGGTAAAGTGCAAGTTGGCCATTCACTTACATATATCACCAGCTTATGGCTTAAAAAACCTCATAACATAAGCCTCTGCTGGTAGGCCAATAGCACAATGAAATGCAGAATCGTCTCATGTAACTGCAAAAAAATTCATACAATCAAATGAAGCCTACATGTACATTTATAAATTCAACCAGAATTGGCAACATTTTAACAGCTATATTACATTCTGTAAACATAAGTATAACACTTGCAGGTCTGAAAAGGCAATATTTACAGTTTTTGGTTAAATAATCTATTTCAGCTTTCATTATATTCTTATTCTGAGGTGCTGAAATACCACAGATCTCTAATAACCACAACACTGATACATTGTATTTGTAGTACTGTCTCATAATAAGCGACATTTTACAGCAGACCAGGCAATGGGAGAACCTCCTTAGTTTTCTGAACGTCAAAAGCTCAGCATGGCCTGCCTGAACAGTAGTGATTTAACCAAGCTGCTTACTCTTTGCCTTTAGGGCACAAGCATGTAAGCAGATTTCAGTTTGTATTAGTGTAAAAGAAAACAAAACAAAAATAAGATATAAGAGTAGGAGACATAGGTACAATAAGGCAATAAGCTAGAGTTAAAGCAGCTTTGATGCATGTCCCTAACTGCAACTATATACATTATATGAGTGTATATAGAATTTTAATCCCATCAATTCAAAGTGCTTACAGCAAAATGAGCTGCCTAACACTATATGGGCAAAATGAAGTGCAACACAGAAAGCTTCCCTTAACATAAAAATAAAAGTGTGCAAATATCTTGATTTTCTTTATACATGTAAAAAATACAGAAGCTATTAGGATACTGTACTGCTATACAAAAAAGACACCCATTTTGTGTTTTTAAAACACAGTAGTATACCTTTTCTTTCCACAAACCATCTAAAAAGGCACTAAGGGTAGGAATGACCAGTAACAAAATATTATGAAATGAAGCAGAAGCACATTATCTTCAGTCCGGTCGAAATATTGGGTACTTTGGTAAGAATTCTATGAGTATAACCTAAAAAAAAAAAAAAAGAAAGTTAAAAAAAGTTCAGTAGATGCATAAGAATGCATTAAAAAACAAACTTAATAGTCATTCAATGGTTTAGGATAATTGGAATATGTGCTAAATTCTTCAATTAATTTAGACAGCATTTGGCTTTGAGTCATATAGCCATTACAATTTAAAAAATCTGTCCTGCATATTGGTCCCCAATACCAGAAACATTTGGTCCTCTAAAATGTAAAACATTTTCTGTCACTTTTTGGTGACAGGAGGCTGTAAATATGTCAGTTTTAGAATATGCAAGCTCCATGAATATCTTCATCCTTCCTTCAAAATTTGTGGCAAAAAAAAGACTTGGAAAAAGCAGGAACATTATTTAACAGGACAACCAACATGCTTGTTCCTAATCAGTGACTCATTAGGGGCCCATTTAGACCACGATGTGTCGTGCTGTGCAACCTTGCCAAACGCAGTCCACTGCATATACAAGACAATATGGCTTGTGTCCTAGGTGTTCAGTGCCTAGGACAAAAAAAAAAAAAAAAAAGCTACTACTTATTCACTGCATTGCGAGGGAGGAGGGAGGAGGAGTTTACCAGCAGACCTCTTAAAAAGCAGCTGCTGATGTGAACAATTTTTTAATCTGCAGTGTAAACATGTAAATATTATAAATTGTATGCCACTTTAAGTATGTGTGTTATTTCTGTAGTATGTACACATCCATTTAGACGTGGAATTATAGCGAGAGCAGCTATAAGAGCTGCAGCTCTCATACACAGAAACCATCTTTTGCTCGCCTTTCTCTCCCCTTGACCATTCACAGAATGAAAGCTGCTAAAGAAACAGTCTCTCAGACCTTTACAGGCTGCTGGCAGCAGGGTTGGGCAGTGCACCTATGCCTTCCACCCAAAACGTCTGGAAATCTCAGGCACAGGGGCTAAATATCTAATGTGCATGAAGCATAAGGCTTCAAATATATATTTTTTGGATATTCTAAAAGCACAAAATTAGTTAAAAATCAACAACCTTGGGGAAATAAGTGACCAACACTGCAGTTTATATCAAATATGTATTTAAATACCTCTTTCTGTATGACAAACATATACTCACATATTCCATCATATTGTTTGATTCACATTTCCTTCTGCTCAGTTTCCAGTGCAAGCCAAGCTAAGAAACAATTGTTACAATGTTAATAAAAAGCAATTTGTGTCAGTGAAGCCACCATTTTCAAATGATTATTTATTTACCTTGTGATATAACCTATTATTCTCCCAGTCCAAAAGTTTGTGAATAGACCTCCTTGTCTAACAAAAGAAGAGAATCAGGATGAACTAACGCACATTATAAATACATAAGAAAAAAAGTAAATGTTATCACCATTTATATGAAACACCATCATATATTTATTTTAGTATAGCAGTCAGTATACCATATAGTCAAATAATAAATCTTGAAGCCCAACTCAGTATATTCTCAAAAAAGGAGCTACAAGCAGAACCTGAAGTATGCCAATAGCTTTCTACTTAAGCCCGGTTTCACACAGATGTGGTGTGGAATTTGCACCGGTTTCTCTGCGACTTCCACACCGCATTATGATCACACCCTGTTCATGCGAACTGCTGCGGGTGTGTAGGTTACGTTAACAACAACCCGTAATCAATTCACAAAACGTGGTGCGATGTGCAGAATCGGATCCTATGGGTGTGAATACCCATGCAATCTGATTCTGGTGCAGACAAAAAAAAAAAAAAAAAAAGGGGGTCCTGCACTGTTTTGGTGCGGATGTGGTGCGATCTGAGCCATACAAAATGTATGGCTCAAATTGCACCGCACAGAAAATTACATGTGATTTGCTCAGAAATGCAGTGTGGTTCCTGTGCAAATCACATGTGATGTGTCGCACTGCATCAGTGTGAATCCAGGCTGAGACTTTGACGTGGAATTTATGTAAGACTTGCGCTGCATTCACACCTTCAAGTCAATGGGCTGCCCTACACTGTTACAAAAGAAAAGCATGAAAAAAAAACCCACTTCTGTGTGCCGCACAAGTGTGAATGGGGCCTTACTTGTGTAGTTTGTTTTCAAATTAAAAGACTACATTTAATACATGCCAGAAAAGCCAATTAATGACAACTGGAGAAAAGGGGAGAGCTCATAGCAACTGGTTTAACCTCATGCAAAACAAGGGATCCGATTATGTACTACAGGCAACAGTTTAACCATTTCTCCAGTTTTCATAACATAGCCTCGAAGTACAGCTTCTAGTTAAGTTTTCCAGTCAGGTGACATGCTTACAATCTCAATAATCGTCAATTCATTCGATTAAATGCTTCAGTCATTAATCTAATAATTCTAGGTCCATAGGCAATATGGAAGAGGGCGATGTGTTATCCCTTTAACGTGCATGTTTACCTAACACTACAGCTTTTCACAGCAATTCCAGGCAACAAGTGAAGCTAGCAAACAGGGATGAGGTGTATTACAGCATTGCCCAAAATAAATAAATAAAAAACCCCACTAATCTGTAGCTTCTAGCATAGTGGGAATGGAATAGGGGGAAGGGTCAGAACCCTTGAGGTTTTACTGTTTCCTAGGGCTTTGTTAGAGAGATTTATCTCCACTTCCTGTTGACAGTTTTATCAGACATAAGTGGTTGAAAGTCTGCAACACGCAAATGGACAATAAAAGCCGACAGATACTAGCATTCCCCTTCTTAACTTAGAAAGGGGTTTTTACTTATTATATTGCCTATATTGCCATTGGGGATTTTCCTCTGGACAACAGTAAAACTTGACAGGGCTATTTCCTTGCTATTTGTAACTAGAGAATAAAAACGGCTATAGCTACACTTTAAAGTGATACTAAAAAGGCATACTTTTTTTAAAAAAAAACAACAAATATGTCATACTTACCTGCTCTGTGCAGTGGTTTTGCACAAAGCAGCCGCAATCCTCCTCTTCATGGGTCCCCCACCAGTGCTCCTGGCCCCTCCCTCCTGTCAGGTGCCCCCATAGCACCTGCTCCTGAGCCACTGCACCCATTGTCCATTCACACAGCAGCTCAGCCCCCCCTTCTCATCGGCTCACTAGCTGTGATTGACAGCAGCGTGAGCCAATGGTTCTCGCTGCCATCTCAGCCAATGAGGAGAGGGAGTCCCGGGATAGTTGAGACTCCAGTGCACATTGCTGGATTGAGAGGGGGCTTAGGTGAGTATTGGGGGGGCTGCACAGAGGTTTTTTTACCTTTATGCATAAAGGTAAAAAACCTTCAGCCTTTACAACCACTATAAGTACTGAACAGCTAGGCTGTGTTCCATATGTGTATATATGTGTTCCATATATGTATATGTCAACATTTTCTATTTTAAGTGCTTTTAGCTCATGAAATGAACAGGGAGCAACAGGATTATATTTTAATCAGATAATCCAATTGAAATTTAATTAAAATAAAAAATGTAATATACTGTAGCCTACCAAAAAATGGATGCGGTGGCTGCATAAAATTTTCTTCAAGCTTTTTTTCCTTTATTTTCATCTGATGATCAGCCCATAACACATCCTTAGGAAGGCTATGTTGACTCCTCCACTGTATCTAAGGAGAAGACACATAGCCAGCCCTGGACAGCAGTCTTGTCAATCAGTGGAGAGTGTAGGGTTAGTCACTTCCATCTAAATCTAGTGCATCTAAAAAATTAAAAACTAAACTCCAGGTCACACTCATTAAGCTTTCACAGCAATAGGTATCCCCCCAGGAATAAATGTTATACATAAATGAATAAAATCTAACCATTGTAAACACCCGTCAGTGTTAAATGGTACGTCCTAACCTTTTAACTGCCACATTTGCTGGACAGCTTAATCTGTCAAAGGAAGGGGGGGGGGGGGGCTCACAAAGACAATGGTGTTAAAGCGGAACTAAATCCATTGATTTAAAGGCTGAAAAAGAAAACATTTACCAACAGGCTCATGCTCTCATTGCATGTCTCTTCTGCATCTCTAATATGCATGTAGAGCTCTGTTTCGGTCACTGACAGACAAGCACCCAGACCATGTCAAGGAGGACACGCCAGCAAGGGACCTCTGGTGAACAAGCGATTTACTGGGATTTTAACTCTTTAACCGTTTCCCAAAACAGTTATATTCAAAGCATGCTGTAAATCATAGCTATTCCAAGGGGTTTGTGCTCTCAACAAAACTGTCAAGCCATAAAATGGCTGGTGTCAGAACTGATTACATGCAGCACAACATGGCAACTGCAGATCAAACAAACAGAGGTTAATATGGCAGTTTCCTTGACTAAGGGATAGGAAGTGTCAATTCAGCTTTAATGCTAGTGACAAATTTGATTTTAGCCATAGCTACACTTTAAATAGGTATGTTCCAGGGCTTGGAATTAAAATTCAAAATCTGTTTATTAAATAGAGGGTATTAAACTGAAATTTTCATTTTGTGTGCCAAAGTTTTCAGATGCAGATCACACAATTTTGAAATGTTTGTAGTCTAACACCACAAGTACAAGAAAACATTTCTATAAATATACAGGTAACATTTTTCACAAGAATAGTACCCCCTATTGTTTCACACTACTCAGATTGCAATTACTAACCCTTTTATTCAGGCATATAACAGGCCACAAACTGAAGCCTAACGTACAACAGCAGCAGATACAGCCACATAGCAGCCATTTCACATTGAGAGGGAGATTCTTTCTCAAGCAGGTATTTACACGACCAATACTGATTTTAAACTCCTCTGGAGCAACCTGAAAAGGATAAAGTATATTTTAAGATACAGCTCTGCAAAGTCCTTTTTTTAAAAAAATAAAACAAACATCTTTAACATGAGGCATTTGTTTCAAAATTGAGCGGATTAAAAAGGTCAACCTGAAATTGAATCTGAAGTAGGTAAGTTGGTGACATTGCACAAACACGGCTATACTTTACTTTTAAATCTCTAATTTTCTACTTGAACAGACTCCTCCTCCATCCACATTATACAGTGCAGATAAATGAATCTCACGCTGTGGCATTTTGAGAGCTGGCCCTGTCAAACAGCGATTGCATTTGACTGAATGCAAACACTGCTTGGCTGAAAAATTTTCCAGCAAGCTCCTTCGACAACAGTCAACAGAATGGTAGACTTCTGAACAGAGTGGGGCCTGTAGGGTCACCCACTGACAGAATTTCAGCCAGTTCCTGAGGAACCATCCAAAATTCACACAGTGTATGGCCAGCTTTAGATTTACAAAAATGTTCACATTAATTTCTTTGCCGCTCAAAAAAGCTCTTTCCCAACCACTGGTAGATGCAGGCTGCCTTTACAAAAACATTGTATTTCTAGTCCACTGAAACATGTGATGAGGTAAGCTCTGCTGCAACCTCCATTCTTCAGAGCAACGGCTGGACAAAGACTTCAACGCTCAGATCAAATCCATGTAATGGCACTCAAGCTACCAGGTCATTGGTTACATTTTTATGCAAATATATACAATATGTAGAAAACTAATAACCTCTAAACGGTCTGTTTAGGGTCTACTTTTCTCATTTACACAATTGCTTTCTCACCCTTTTTTCCTTTAAGAAACAGATAAGGCCCTTAATATGGGTTGCACTTTACTACAATATAAAGACATTATTACCCTTAGGCATCTGCTTCTCTTTCAAACACTAAAAAGGATCATAATATTTTACGACAGGATGCAATGAGGGCAACAAACAGAAAAACTAAGCAAAGCCCAGCAGGCAAGATCTGGATTGTTAAAAAGTCAAACAAAACCACTACCACCCCATCAATCACCTTTCATCTCTGCTAACAATACTAGAGAAATTTTATGACTTGCAGCTCTGAACTGTAGGCTTATCTCACTTTAGGACATCTACTGTTAAGTGTAGCTGGCAGGAAACTATGGTGACTTCCCTAAAGGTTTTATCTATTCACTTATAGTCACCTGGATCATGTTAATTGGACTATAACTCGTCAGGTAGCCCAATTATTCTGGAAATACATATTATGCAAAAGGGTAAAAAGATAAAATTCTTCAGTAAGAGTAACTTAAAAAAAATAAATAAAAACAGTTTTCCTGTTCTTACCAATGGTATCAACTGTACATACAAAGCAGAAATGTTATTTAGCACTTATGATAACATATGCCGAAAGACTATTACTAGTAGAATTGGAAAATTAAAATATATAATTCTAAAAAAATACTTAACATTGCAAAACTAAAACAAAATGTTCAATGAAAATAAAAAGCAAATGACAACTATCCCAACTAGGAAACAATATGCCTCACAATAATAACAATAAAAAATAATTTAAAACTAATTGTAAATTTGCAACCACTGCACACCACAGCTTAGAACCCAGCACAAGCTGACTAGTTCTACAAACTGCCATTCCGTTGCCCAGTGAAAGCTCCCTTATTAGCCACTGAGCCCAACTCAATGGAATAGGGATAACAGTTGGCTTACCTAGCACTGACGGCATGAAACTTAGACTACAATAAAGAAAATCCTGTTTTAGCGAGACAAGGAAAAGCAGACATTTTGAGATGCCTACTCGAAATGAAGAGTGCTTATTTTAATAGTATTGTTAGTGACCACCCCATTCATGTTTTCACAAAGTTTTCTGAGGCAAACATTCTTACCTTTCCGGTCAAAACAGAAGGGAATTCTGCATCGAACTTGTTGCTTAAACCAAACCTGAAAGAAGGAAAAATATATATTAAGTTTAAATGAAACATTAAATCTAATCTATTAATATTCTATAATTATGAGACTAGTCTGGTTATGTGTTCTGGCTCCCACGTCAGCCAGCGTGGCTTCAGGGGATAGGAAGGATAACGGATGGGCCAACAAAGCCTATGGGCAACATCACGGCTCTAAGCTTTACTAGTTGTTGTTGGAGCATTCTCTCCTCTGCAGCTGCTGCTGGCGGACTGGAGCGGCCTGAAAATAGGTCTACATGCCGATTCATGTGAATTGAATGCGTTTTGAACCGCATTTGATTTGCATAACGTGAACCAAAAGGCTTTTCTATGGAGCCGGTTCACATGTGCAGGCCAGCTGCAGTGTGATTTCAAAAAAGAGCCTGGTACAGTTTTCAGCCCAGTCCAGGTGCAATTTCCATTGTCATACAATTTAACAATTTGCACCTGAACCACTGAACAAAGTCGCATCAGATGGGGCTTGAAATCGCATTGCAAACTGGCCCTGCACATGTGAACCCAGGCTCAAAATGACAATTGGCTTTTTTTATTAAAATAAACATGTTATACTCACCCGGCCTTTGCAATGGTTTTGCAGAGCGGCCCTAAACATCTTCTTCTAGGGTCCTCCACCAGCGATCTTTGCTCCTTCCCTTCTGTGTGCGCCCCCATAGCAAGCTGCTTGCTATGGGAGCGCACAGCGCATGCTTGCTCCAGAACTGTATTAATGGAGCCACACTCCACTCAAGTGATCTGGGCACAACCCAAATTTGGGATTTTCTTTTACTTTCAATGATAATGGTAAGCAGGACAAAGAGGGGGCAGAGGTAGCAATAAAACCCTAATAAGTGCTCTAACCATCTCCAGTCTGTCCAAAGCTAGAAAAAGCTTAGCCTTTAGCTATACTTTAACCCTTTTGCTGTCAGGCCTTGTGCTCCACTTTTAAACCCAGCTGGCAAGACTATATATGCAATTTTTCCATTGTTTTTTTTTTTTTTTTTTTACCTTTAACTTACAGCTTTCAGAGTTTGTAAAAGACTGCTCAAACCATATATTTTCTGAAAGCACATAACCAGTATAATAAAAAGAAGGTACTACTGATTTTTAAGGCACTGCAATATTGGCACAAATGTTTATCAAAGCAATTTAGCTGAAAATACACTAAAATCATTATTAGCAGACAAACACAGCCCATTTTACAAAACTCTTGCTAAATGCCTACTAAATACAAAAGCGTAACCTATATTGAGTGATTAACAAATATTTGTCAATTTTAAATTGCACCTTTTTGCAAAATGGTGAAAACCAAATGTACCCAAATGCAGACAGTGTAAGTTCAGAGAGATACGCCCACATGGATGTCAAGTTGGGAGCAGTGGCTGTCTTGATGAAGCCACTGCATCCCAACTGATATGGATGGGACTGCTTGCACAGGAATACACTAAACACTGGTGCATTCCCGTGTAACCACTGCCTCCCAATTGACATCAATGGGACTGTCTACATGGGGATACACGGAACACCTGTGCAGCTAAACATGGCTTCACTGTAGCATGCCCTGCGGGAATGAGGCCTTTTGCCTTGTTTTGACTTGCGGTTGAGGGGCAGCAAAACGCCCCTTAAGTTGCAATGGGCAGTGGACAGGGCGTCATGCTTCAGAAGCAAGTGAGATTTAGATGCATGTGTAAATCGACCCTATGGTTTTTTTTTTTTTTATCATTTTTTTTTTTACAATTTTTTTTTTTGTAGAGGTACGTTTCTAAATTATTTAAAATTTTTTGGGGGGCAAGGGGACTTTGGGGAGACATCAGGGGTCTAAACAGACCTTTAATTACTTTTTTGAAAGAGAAAAGTACTGAAAACAGTTGCTCTTGCGAGAAGCGTGGGGCTACCATTCATTCTAAGGGGCACCCTCAAGCATCTTAGCCCACAGTGTGATCATGGGTGCAGCAACCGCAGGGAAACTGCATTGTCAAAAAGACGGTTTCCCTGCGGATGCATTTTAGAAAAAGGTACATGCACTTTTTTTTTTGCATGAAATTACCAGCATGGCAGCCCATTCCAATTGCAGGGCTGCCATTCCTGTGCAAACACAGGCCACATGGCACGCACTAGTGTGAACCTAGCTTTCATTCATAAAATGAAAAAGTTTTGTTCACAAGCTGACAGATAGTAAACACAACTTACTATCTGCCAGTGATTAATGAATACAGAAGAGATGTACTGATAACTGTCTATATTCATTGAGAAAAGGAAGCGTATGTTTTTAAGCCCCCTGCTCTCAGAAAAGGAAGAAGGCCGCCCAGTCTCCTTGCTGACAGTAATCTGTCAGCGGCTGCAGCCCATGGAAGGGGAAGGAGGGATAGGCTAGCAGCTGCAGGGAGGGGCACCACGACACAACAGAGTTGGGAGGAGGAGCAACGGGGGGCATCTGGTCTTGCAGTTGGATCCTTCTGTGGCTAACCTGTAGCAGTGAAAGTCTGCAGGAGAGGCAGAGGAGGGAAGCCGACAGAGATTGTGGTTTGCGAGGGGGGGGGAGTAATTAGTGCAGGCGGGATAAAGCAGTGTTAGGGACAGTTAGAGGGAGGGTGGGGGGGCATTTTAGATTTTAACACAGGTGGGTGGAGAGAAGGGAGACAAGGCAGAGAAGCAGCGGAAAGGGAGTTGTCACATTTTAGGTTAATAGCTTTGAACAGCGGCTTCTTAGCTAACCAGAACTATCTCCTTTTGTTTAGCAAGGTCTGCTGAACATTTCTGTTATAAGTTCATAGTCACTGAAGTGACCATGAGCTTCTAGCAAGGAATGCAGGTCTATACGGACCTGGCCAGCTAGAAGCAGTGCTGTAGGTCCATACACTGTACGGACCTGGCAGTGAGAGTTAAAGAATCTAAACAAAATACTCAGATAACTTATAGCACCTGGCAGCCAGAACTGACATCAGCTGAGGCCTGAACATCCATCTGGTAGAACTTCGCACTTTCTTGATGACGTCTGCTTGGCTACCCTACTTTCTCTGAAATACCCACTATCATTCTTGGAGATTTTAACATCCCCATTAATGTGAACAACCCGGCTACATCCCAATTCTTCAACCTAACCTCATCTTTTACCTGAACACAATGGACACAGTCCTCCACTCACTCTGATGGGAATACATTAGACCTTGTTTTCTCCCATCTTTGCACTCCTTACAACATCACAAACACCCCCTTTCATCTCTCTGATCACAATCTCATCACCTTTACAGTCTCCTCAAACACTTATCCCTCCAAGCAGCAAACAATTACCCGCAGAAACCTTCACAACTTAAACCCTTCTCTTTTCCACTCTGCAACTGACAGCCTCTATGACAGAATCTCTCCCCTGTCCTGCACTGATCTGGCCACTGCTGTCTACAACAGTTCACTTTCATCCACACTAGACTCACTTGCTCCTCTAACTACACAAAGTGTCAGGCCCCGACCATTACAACCTTGGCAGACTGACAACACCAGAGGTCTTAAGCAACATAGTCGTGCGCTGGAGCGATTGTGGCGTAAAACACAATCTCAGCAAGCATTCACCCTATATAAATCTGCTTTCTTAACATACAATTCCTCCCTCCGTGCTGCCAAACAAGCCTACTTTGTCACTCTTAATACCTTGTCATCCAATCCTCGTCGTCTCCTCTCTACTTTCTCCACCTCCACCCAGTACCTCACTCACTGCTTACAAGATTGCAAATCACTTCAAAAACTAGATTGATGCAATTCGTAGGGGCATCTCCACTACCCAAACATATATCCCACTTACCATATCTTATACTAAACCTCCCTAAACACTTTCCTCTTTTGACCTTGCTACTACCGAAGAGATCACTAAAATTTTCTCAGAAGCCAGTCTAACCACGTGCCCCCTGGATCCTATCCCCTCTCAACTACTACGGTTACCCTCTTCTTCCATCCTATGCTCCCTCACTCACACCTTCAATCTCTACCTCTCTACTGGTGCCTTCCCCTCTAAAGCATGCACACATCACTCCCATACTTAAAAAACCCTCCATGGACTCCACCGACCTGAACAACTTAAGACCCATCTCCCTGCTCCTGTTTACCTCTAAACTCTTCAGATGCTTAGTCTATCACTTGAGCTCCTACATCATTGACAACAACCTTCTTGACCCTTTACAGTCTGGCTTTCGCTCACTACACTCCACTGAAACTGCCCTACTAAAACTCACTAATGATCTACTAACTGCTAAAAACCAATGGCCACTACTCCATACTCTTACTACTTGACCTCTCTGCGGCTTTTGATACAGTTGACCATCCCCTCCTCCTCAAAAAACTCCACTCTTGGCCTCCGAGACTCTGCTCTCTCCTGGTTCTCCTCCTACCTATCGCAGCGCTCCTTCAGCATTACCTATAACCCTGTCTCCTCTCCCTCTTTCTGTAGGGGTCCCTTAAGGTTCTGTCTTTGGACCCCTTCTCTTCTCCATCTACACCTCCTCCCTTAGACACTTGATAAACTCCCATGGCTTTAAGTACCATCTCGATGCTGATGACACAAATCTATCTTTCTACTCCTCACCTCTTCAGTCTCCTCTCGCATTACTAACCTAAGTGACATTAGCATGGATGTCACTCCACTTCCTCAAACTAAATCTTTTCAAAATGGAGCTCATGCTATTCCCTCCAGCCTGTGCCCCCTCCCGACTTCTCCATCAAGATCAATACTACAACCATCAGTCCCTCCCCTCATGCCAGGGTACTGGGTGTAATCCTAAACTCCCATCTGTCCTTTCAGCTTCAAATCCAATCACTGTCCAAATCTTGTAGACTTCACCTCTAAGATACGTCCATTCTTAACCTGTGAAACCACTAAGCAACTTATTCACTCCATTGTTATATCTCGCCTTGACTATTGTAACTCCCTTCTCATTGGCCTACCCAATTGAAGGCTATCCCCTCTTCAGTCTACCATGAGTGCTGCTGCCAGAATCATCCACCTTACTAACTGTTCCATATCTGCCACCCCTCTCTGCCAACAAATAAAA